TTTACGTTAAAGGGAGAACAACAATTAAAGATGCATGAGAATGGGGCGCTGAATAAAATATTTGGGCCTAAAACAGTGGCCGTAACGAATAGCTGGAGGAAACTGCATAATGAGGAGTTTTGTGAAATTCTACTGAGACGACCAAATGAACCAGGATAAACTGGTTGGACATATAATACGAAATGGTAAGTTAAGTGTGTCCTTGTGCTTGACTAGTCAAGTTCTACACCATTAAGGCCTACTGGTTAGTGGAAGTAGAGCCATATTTTCTTGACCTCGATATTAACTGGAGGTCAATGGTCAGCTTCACGCCCCGGCAACTTTACCCCCCGTATGCATTAGATAGGAGGATGGGTGGACCCCAGAGCCGGTCTGAACGACGTGAAGATGAGAAAATTTTTGGCCCCACCGGGACTCGAACTCCGAGCCCTTTGTCGTCCAGCCCGTAGCCAGTCGCTATATCGACTGCGCTATCCAGAATGGATGCAGTGATAAATGTGTACAATATTTCTGTCAAAAAGTTGAAGGGAGGTAAAGAAAAGCTCGGTGGAAATAAGAAAGTAGGAGAAAAATTGATATTAAAGAAACAGTGTGAGAAGCTCTGAACTGGGTCCGGTGGCGGGCTGGAGTAAACTCGATAATGAACCTTCGGGTTCCATAAAATAAGAGCTATTCGTTGACTATTTCCGTGACTATCACTCTCTCAATATAGACTTTGTCCATTAGAAGTAAAATGTAGTTTCTCTGTACCTAATTAAGCGCCAAGTCATAAAGGCGTATGGAGAAGTTCAGGTAAAACTCCGAGCATTCTTAACCTCGGCAATGGATGGGATTGAGTGGTCAGCCACGGCCGATTTACCACCCCAAAAAGAAGCTCCAGTACCCATTGGATATGAGGCTGTGTGGACATCTGATTCGGTCCAGAGGCTGTGGAGGACACATTGGACCTGCCGGAGGAGGATATTAGACAGCACGAAATATTATATGAAAGGTACACACACTTCTCGTGGCTTGTAAATGGTTAAACAATTAAATAGTCACAAGAAACAACACGTACTCAGAAAACGAGGAGATCCGTTTCATTCTGCTGTAGGTGAAGCAAGTGTCACGTAGCTTCGAACAAGGCCAAGAGTAACCTTGAATGCGCAGAAGACAAATTTCAGACAACCCACTCCCTTGTCAGAAATTTTTCTTCTACGCATTCAAGGTTAATCTTGGCCTTGTTCGAAGTTACGTGACACTTGCTTGAGGTATGACGGACGGAGTTCACTTGTAACACCGGCCTGGTAAGTGTCATCCACTCCAATGTTCCGTCTATGTTTATTCACCACGGGAGACTCGTTTACTTCGACTCGCGAATTTTTCTCGGTTACAAAGTAACAAGCTTCGTGCAATACTGACTCAAGACACAAGCAATTTCAACTTCCAGGTGTAGCTTTATGCTCCGAACAAAACTGGAAAACTGAGTTCCTGTTTACATGTAGTATTTGAGATTCTTTGAGCAGTAGTATAAAATTACTCACAACACCGTCAAGTGTGATTGGTTAATAAAAGCTGTATTTCAATTCTTCCTTATCCTTAACATGTTTCTGTCGGATTGACCATCTTCAGAAAGATGCAATCAATATTTAGGAAACCGCTTTTACAATTTCATTAATATACAGGATGTCGCTGGAGGAATGTGCCAAACTTTGGGAGGGTGTTCCTTATGTTAAAGTATGCCGATATAACCCAAAACACCTATGTCCAAAGTTGAACGTTTACGGAGATAATGGCCAGGGAAGTGTGAATCACTGACCGCCGTTACACACTTGTTGATTACCAAATACATATTAAAACTGGCAGGAAAATGTGGTTTCTGTAATGTTAATAATGTACGTAACATCAAACTAACTTGCGAGTGACATGAAGCCATTAAATTGAACTACAAAAAACTCGCACACCATGTCATAGTTGTCGTTAGGTTTCCAAGCACTATACATGACACATGAATGGCAAGCGCTGACGTAACATGGCTGACTGCGCATTCTGTTATAAGCTGACTATATAAATGTACTAAAATACAGTACCTGCTTTATAGTAATTGTTCAAGGTGTTCTCCGCCAGCTGCAATGCAGTTTTCTGCACGCATCATGAGGAATCGGGTAGCAGAAGCAGTGTTGCCTAGATGGTGACGTATGTGTTCTGCCGCTGCAGAAATACCATCCCGCAGTGCGTCTCGTGAATCAACTTTAGTTTCATAGACTAACGTCTTCATGTGGCCCCAGAAGTAATAATCTAGAGGCGTAAGATCTGGCGACCTCGGTGGCCATGCAACGGGCCCACCACGACCTAACCAGCGGTTAGGGAAGGCTAGTGTGAGCCGTCGTCACCACACTCAAGGACAAACATAGATAAGACTTGTCAGCTGACAGGTGCAGCGCGTGGACCCGCCAGAAGACCACATTTTTCTCGGGCCATTATCTCCCTAACCGTTCAACTTTGGACACAGGTGTTTTGGGTTATATCGGCATACTTTAACATAAAGAACACCCTCCCGAATTCTGGCATATTCTTCCAGGGACACACTGTATAAAAAAAAATGTGGCACGCGGTAACGTAGTTGGTTGAGGCACTATGCTACAGGCCGGAAGGTCGCGGGATCGAATCCCGATGAGGTCATTAGATTTTTTCAATTGACCTAATCCTTCCAGCCGCAATATGGCCCTGGAATCGACTCTGCCTCTAACAGAAATGAATACCAGGAATATTTCGGGGGGATAAAGGGCTACCGGCGCGTAAGGCTGACAACCTTGCCGCTACTGTGAGCCGATTGTCTAGAAAATGTGGGAACCTCAACCTGGGGCTTGTACAATAGGCCAGAAGTGGCCGCAGTACAAGGGACTTAGTCCCACCCCACTTGTAATGAAATATAGAAGAAGTAACATTAAACTCAAATGTTGGAACATACTTGATCGTCTCGTTTCTAGTGAATAAAACGCCATGTTTCGAAGATGGCTCTGCTTCCGGCTTCAGGTAAAGTATTAAATCTTTTATTCTTGGATCAGTTAGACGCGACTACTCTCTGTCTCCAGAGATTAATTCCATCTAATGGACCAAAATAGGTTTCGCACTCTTGCATGATGATGGAAGTAAGATAAGCTTCCGAAATTTTGTCTTTTTTTTTAACCAAACACGAGATGATGGAAAATATCTTACAGCTGTGACTATAAAAAATTCTGCGTCCTTAGCTACAACTCCTAGTAGTCCCGCGAAAGTCAACAAATGTTTCGGAGCAATGTATCGCTCCCATCTTCAGGGTCGAAAAGATGTGTTTCCTGCAAGGTACGAACTGAATTCTTATATAGTATTTGAAAGTTCATCCTTTAAAAGGTTATATAGCTGACCTACTTTCAAAAACAATGTTTTGAGAGGGGCATTTTATTAGTAAAAATAATTGAATTTATGGAAATAGAACAACTACAAGTAAATTCGTTTTTCTTCATGGAACCCTGAAAGATTGTTCCGAACTTTTGTTTACAATCAAGTTGTAAAATGTTAATCCTGCTTAAAATTAGGTATACATTTACAGTTTCAGTTACTATGCAGGCAGAAAACCATCTCCTATGTCTCTGTGCGTGGTGCACACTATTGCTCTATAGGGTAGTGCTCGAAAGATCATTAAAGCCTAATCAAACTAAGCAGGGGTTCATTGGGTTCTATCATTAGGAAGTTACGTCAGCTACCACTTTGTAGTGGTAGAGAGGGAGTGTCGCCATATTTACTATAAATTTTAGTAAATGAGAAAACCCAAACAAATCTTAGCCAATACTACGAAAGAGAGGGAGAGTCAGCAAATAGGTCAGAAATGGTATTAAAACTTAAACACTTGATATACGTGTCTGGGAAAAACATTTATTTATCGACATATCCTCCCCCAACATTCATGTACTTGCCCCATCACTTTACCGGTACTTCGAAACTCACAGCTTATAAGAATTTTGAGTGTCGTCTCAGCGGCTTCTGCATCTTGTCAGGTATCATCTGCGACTTTAGTACGTTCTTGAGAAAAATTATCGACCCAGCTCTGAACTGCTTCAAGCGACAAAAACTTTGCACCATAAACAGGAAATATATTTTTATTAATATCCTTTTCATTGAGTCCTTTTACGCACATATCTCACAAAACAACGCTGATCTTTGGTAGTATACTCCTCAAACACGGTCGCCATTTTGACTACTGAAACCAGCGTCTGAACATGCGTATGCGCGTCTGTCTCCTACACTGTCATGAAGCTGGGCTATTCTACTACCTAGTGACACACATATAAAAACTATTACATTCATTACAGTTGTTTTACTTCCATTTGTGACCTATTTTCTGACTCTTCCTCGTAGTAACACGAATATTGTAAATTTATAGTCGCTCTTTCCCAATGCGTAACCTATTCTTAAAAGAATTAAAGTGTAATGGCAAAATGGTGATTATGTGTAACGAGGTACATAAACCGAACAGAAATATAATAGAATACAGTTCAGTAAAATGTGGTTTTACTTCTCTCGGTCTCAACGTAATGGCATTTTCTGCCGCGATATTCCTTCACATTTGCAAGCTCGCAGCCTTCTACACGCGCTGTAGCTATCCGTAACAGGCTGTGTCAGGTCACAAGCTGATGTGCTTCAACGGTAACTTGCTACTTTCTTGCAACAATTACAGCTTCAACGGTTACTTGCTACTTTCTTGCAACAATTACAAAGTCACAATAAAGATCGGCAAACTGTTAATAATGAAAATTAATAGAAATTTTCAATTTATAATTACTGCACCTCTTCGCGAAAGATGAGCTTTGATGAGAGAACTGTGTCAAAACAACACGAAGACAATTACTGCAGTTAAATATCTCCTCACACATGAACCTCCGTGTAATATCCCAGAAACACTACGCACAATATTAGCATAATATGCATGAAATCGAAATGAATACATGTACGGAAAGAAATAAAATTCTTATCGTACTCACCAATGTTGTTATCCGAAATGGCGGGCTGTTGTTAGTTGGTAACCTCCTGTAACACCAGACCGTAAGCCTAACAAACCCCAGAATATTTTTTTTAATTCTCTTAGTGAGGGGGTGGAGTCCAGCTGTGTCCACTCTGCACGACGGCCACTGATTGGCCTATTGTACCTGCCCCGGGTGATTACGACGATGGAAAATTTGGTGGAATGAAGATTGGTAGGGGAAACCGAAGTACTTGGAAAAAACCCGCCCCAGCGCTACTTTGTCCACCACAAATCCCACTTGACCAGACAAGGGATCGAACCCGAGCCGCCACAGTGGGAAGCCAGCGACTAACAGCTTGAGCTATGGCGCGGCCAACCACAGAATATTACAATGTACATCATTTCAAAATATCTTGCGCATATTCCACTCGTGCCCAGTAAGTAATTAATCATATCACATCACAACACATCACATAATATCACATCACATCACATCACACTGTGCTGATTAACTCACGTCCGAACACATATTAAATCACCAAACCTATACTATACGCAACGCGCCATTTGACTCTCTTACGTCATGCAACAAGAGAAACCGCCAATATTTCGCGCGATTATCTGTTGTCACCCGGCAAAACAATCCGCAATCTGCAAGACGTAACACGATTTTTATGCTAATCATTACTATAATTAGCAGCAGAACATAAAAACTGAATAACCGTTAATTTGTAATATAAAACGACTGCAACACAGTTTGTAAACAACTCGAATCAGAACGATACTCAGTCAACCCCCACCACTGGATAAGCGCGGTCGTTCTAACATCAAGTGACAGTGGCTAGGTGTTTCATTGGTCCTTCAGATCACGTGATTGAACGCAGCCGAGGTAAGGTACTAGTACTGCTACAATGTGTAACTAAATTAAGTAAACTATAGCAAACGCGATTGAATGCACACACGTGTGTTCAAAATACAGGTTTAGTATTTGAAAATTTAACACCGTGTTAGAGTGGGGGTAAGGCCGAGTCATAGCTCAAGCGGTTAGTCGCTGGCTTTCCACCGCGGCGGCTCTGGTTCGATCCCGGGGTCTGGTCAAGTAGGATTTGTGGTGGACAAAGTGGCGCTAGGGCGGGTTTTCTCCGAGTACTTCGGTTTCCCCTGCCAATCTTCATTCCACCAAATTCTCCATCGTCATAATCACCCGGGGCAGGCTACAATAGGCCAATTAGTGGCCGCCGTGCTGAGTGGACCCAGTTGGACTCCACCCTGAACTAAGCCAATTAAAAAAAATATATATAGTGGGAGTGTTTGGAAAGCCCTGGATTCAAATCTCGGTAAGGAGACAGGCTGTACTCACTGACGTATTTCATAGTTTTTCTCAGTCTGTCCATGAAGAAGGCGCGATAATACCTGAGGTCTGATTAAGAGCACTTCATTCCAAATTCTTTCCAAATCATAAATGATCAGTCAGAGGTCTATGTATGTGTGTATGTACACCTCACTAGCGCCTGAATGACTGGACACATTTTGTTCATGTTCAGCGTTGGTGTTCCGTAAATATGAACATTCTGCCTGAAAGAAAAAATACAGGAATCCCCAAAAATGAAATTTCGTTTAAAGACAAAAATTTCTTCAGTTCAAATATTAGGCCCATGTTCCGATGAGTTTTTTTGTGGGAGGGTTACAAACCCTCTTCACATAGGCCCCCCTCCCCCAGTTCAACAAATTTGGGCAATTTTTTTTTTAATCACGTCCGTTATGCTTCTACATTCTAAGCTGCTGTGTTCGAATCTTGACCGGTACACCGCCTACTAACTTGACTGAGGATTTTTGTGGATTTCCTTGGTCCCCTCTTGCAAATTCAAGTATATCTATCTCAGCTGAGCCATGAACTGTTTATTGTGAATTCTTTCTGTTTCGTCATTTATCAGTCATTCTGCCAGTAAGTCACCAGTTAGGGCCGCGCCATAGCTCAAGCGGTTAGTCGTTGGCTTCCCACCGCCGCGGTCCCCGTTCGATCCCGGGTCTGCTCAAGTGGGATTTGTGGTGGAAAAAGGGGCGCTGAGGCATATTTTCTCCGAGTACTTCGGTTTCCCCTGCCAATCTTCATTCCACCAATTGCTCCATCATCATAATCACCCAGGGCAGGCTACAATAGGCCAGAAGTGGCCGCAGTACAAGGGACTTAGTCCCACCCCACTTGCAGTAAAAACGTCACCAGTTAAGTATAGGCTGATTCCTACTAAAGAGCTATGAGTTAAGGTTTTTAATGTAAAGGTAATCATTATGGAGAGATATCTGTACGACTTACAGATATATAGAGTGTCCTAGGAGAGGTCAGTTTTCTGGGAGGTCATAGTACCCGTAATTCTAAGGAAAAAGTGTATATGCTCATGTGTCCTATTTCGAAAGGTTTCCGAGATAGACCTATTTCACTGTACATTTCCAAAACTGTTGATAAGAAAGAGATGTTACGTACTGTTTCTAATGCCGGTATTTATTGCTCAATCGACAAAGTTGGTACAGTAAATATAATATTGGTACAGTTTACCTAGTGTAATTTTTTTTTTCCGTGGCACTACAGCCCCAGTGGGCCTAGGCCTACCTCCATGAACTTCTCCGTTCACTTCGGTTTTTCTAGATCTTACACGTTCGGTAGGACTCCTTTGGCGGGTGATCAGCTCGTCGCAAGGCCTCTACCTGTACACAAACACAGAAAAACGCGTACACACAAACTAAACAATCATGCCCTGAGTGGGATTCGAAACCACGATCCCGGTTTCCAAGCGAGCGAAGACAGTGCATGCCTTAGACCGCTCGGCTACCGTGACTGGCTGCCTAGTGTAATACATTTTCGAAAATTCTACCGTCAACATCAGTGCACTTTGCAACTTGTGTGAGGACATGGCGTGTTGCTCGTCTCTGCAATGAAATAGCTCTATCTCGGAAACCGTTCGGAATAGGACACATGTACATATACACACTTTTGCTTAGAATGACCGATACTATGGCCTCCCGGCATATTGACCTTTCCTACTGGGACATCCCGTATATAAGGAACCAAGTTATATGTCACTTATAGCCCTTTTGAACTGGGAAATGACAACCATGCCCGAACCTTCTGTGTGACACCCTCTCGATGTGTGATAGTGGGGCGCTCTATATGTAACCCCTCTCTCAACCTTTACCGTGATCAACTCTATCAGCTCCTCCCGGCTGATCGCTCTCTGGGGTGACTATGGGTCTGCAGGGGGTGACTTGGTATGATCATCGCCGAGACACTACGACGTTTTCAGCGTACCAGATGAATTGAAGGGGGGGAGGGGTGTTAGGAAGAACAGTAAGGGGTACAAAAAGTGACGGGAATAGTGAAAAGTGATCCAGAGAATTTTACCATGGATGTGAAATGATAATATGAGAACAGAGCGTGAAAGCGCTCGTACATTGACAGTTCAAACTACAGACTGAATCGAAAGTTTGTATCCTGTCTTACTTTGAGAATTCAAACTACACGCTGTTCGAAAATTTGCACTCTGTGTGAATAACAAAATTCACACTACAAATTGATTCCAAAGTTCGTACTCTGTGTATTTTTGACAGTTCAAACTACAGACTGAATCGAAAGTTTGTATCCTGTCTTTGAGAGTTCAAACTACACGCTGTTCGAAAATTTGCACTCTGTGTGAGTAACAAAATTCACGCTACAGACTGATTCCAAAGTTTGTACTCTGTGTAATTTTGACAGTGCAAACTACAGACTGAATAGAATGTTTGTACCCTGTATGCGATTTACATTTCGAGCTAAGACGTAAAAGATAGTGGAGGTACAGCTCCAGAATGTTTAACTACGAGACAGGTTGTAGGTGAGAGATTATCATCACGCCTCTGTCGCTACCGGTAACCATTGAATAGGAAGCAGGATGGGCCCCAGAGCCAGTCTGGACTTTATGGACAAGGGAAAGGGCTCTTTGCCTACCTGGAATCGAACCCTGACTCATCAGTCCCTTGGTCTAGTCTCTATAACGATTGAGCAATCCTGGCTATCTGTTAAGGACAAATATTCTCTTTTATCATAATATAACCTGTTTAGCCATGCGAAATATGAATTTATTTTAAATACAGTTTGAAGAACTGTGTTAGTACATCAGGGGAAACAAACTTCGTCTGACTTGACCAGTTGGTCAATGCAGTTCGGCAAAATTGTCTCTGCTAATGCTGAGTAGCATGTGAAACACATCAGCGCACTCTGCCGACAAAGTGAAGAACTTTTTAATGTTAACGGCGGTAGGAAATATGATAATGACCAGGACCCGGATTTTGATGACATGTCATCTTTTTTTCCTTGTATCCTATGCGATGCTCTTAAATATATAAAAATCGGATATGAGCTGCTGGTTACAGAAACGTAAATTTATTTTTTGTCATTTTTTGACATTTTTAGGTTTAAGGTCATTGTTTTCATTTTGGGGGTAATTTTTTTTATACATTTTTGGACTTTTAAGGGTATTTCTTGTCACTTTCGGCCATCCATGATATGTATACAGTGGCCGTCTTGTATTGCACTCAATTTCACCTGTTACTTCACGACATGTTTCGGCAACATAGTGCCATCATCAGGTGCCCTAATTACGCTAATCTATTGCATTGCTTGCCATTATATGTCTTTATAAAATTATTTTAAAAGTATTTAAAAAGTGCGTATTCGTCAACNTGTTTTCTGAAATGTGAATAATATGGAAGCGAAATGTTCTTTCTTTTCTCCTTTAGGTCATTTATCTGGATTTTTTCGGTCATTTTATAGGTAATTTTTTTAATATTTTCAGGTCATCAAAATCCGGGCCCTGAATATTACATTTTTGGGTCATATCTTAGGTCATTTTTCTGGATTCTTTCGGTCATTTTATAGGTCATTTTTTAAATATTTTCAGGTCCCCAAAATCCGGGCCCTCATAATGACTGTGGTTTAGACGTTTAAGATTCAAACATACCTTTAAGAGCTGTTCCCTACAAATCTTATTTCTGTCTCACAAAGTGAAGTCTACACCCATGTAGAGGCAAACTTCTAGTAATAAACAGTTTGAGCTCCTTTTTGGTCAGAACTTTTTAAAAAGTTTTCTCAAACTATCAAAGTTTCTCCTAAGT